CGCATGCAGTGAGGACTTGCAAAACACTTTTCCCATACTCTCCCAGGGATCACTTCTGCAATCCATACTGGGTACCAGAGACCCTCAAAGCAGAAAGCTGGATTCACTCCATGTAATCTAAAGATCGTAGGCATATAGTTTGGTACTATGACAAACTCTGGTTCTTTGAAAACTGGTTCTGGAAGCAGGGACAAACACAGTCTTCATTAGAAGCCAGGAAGGTCACTGATGCGCAAAATGCCTGACAAACAGCATATAGCTGCTAATAATTCTTCTTAGGGAGGATTTTCAAATGAGCTTTGGGTTATGGATAACATGAGTTCCAGAATAATGCACTCAATAATTGTGTATATGATTTCTGTAATAACCCTACATACAAAAGAAAGAAATATAATATTTGTGCAGGTATTTGAAGGCAGGCAGATTCAGACTTGCTCTAACCAGTCTGCTCTGATACAGAAACCTTACAGCTGCAACAGTCAGATGTCCACAGCCACACCAACAAGCTCTGGCACAGCAGCTTGCTCAACCAGCTATATGATTTCAAGGACAGGGCAACTGGACAAAATGGGCAAGTTTTTTTTTTGCACTTCAGCAAAGCTGTGACCATACCCAGCACCTACGATCTGGTTCTTGATTTGCTTTTCATGACTTAGGTGGCTTATTTATCACCCTGATCAGGAAAAACAGGGCAGTCCATTTTCTTCTCTTTATTTGAACAAAAATCTTGCCAGTTTTAATTTCAGGGTTCCAGATCCAGCCCAAAATTTCAAGTGTAGCTTTCAAATACTGCTGAATAATGTTTGTTCATGATAGGATACTTTTCTAATCAAAAGTGGAAACCCAACATGAGCCATTTCTATTCATCAGTAGGACTTCAATAAGTGTAGTTTTGCAAGATCCTTGATTTTGTGTCAGCTGTCTCCATTCTACTTATACATCTGTGCATATTTATTATGTACATAATACACTACAACTAATATCTATAAAACCAATTGTATATTTATGCAGAGAGGTTTTAATTCTATTATCTAGACTTTGCTGCTCGTCAGGTTTGACTCATGTAAATGCTTACAGAAAGAATCCGCACTGACAACACTGCCAGCAGCTCTGAACTTACTATTATTTCCTACAAATTCCTACTGGGGCTAAAGCAGAGGGACCACGAGGGTCCCTGTCTCTCAAGGGAGGCACAATGAAAGCACTGCAAACCAAACAGGACAGATCTCTTAATTCTGTCTAATCACCCGAGTTCTGGAGGCCTTTTAGATGCAACCTTCAACTCGAGTCCTCTCTCCTTCTTATTCCAAGACAGTTTCATTAAAACGCAAGATTTTAAAACTTTTTCCCCCAACATCTGCTGTTCATCAGTGTCCCACTGCAATGCTCTACCAGGTGACGGATGCATTTTGGGTGTGTTTCCTTGGTGTGCATGCAGGCCAGGCATTAGAAATGCATCAGGATGCTCAGCCAGCAGATGTGAACACACTGCTCCTTAAATCCTCCTCCATAACATGACTGCACCCTGCCACTCATCTGAACCCCAGGTGCTGCCCTGAGCTTCAGTTTTTAATCTACCAGTAAAAGTCAAAGTACATTTTTGGCCTATAGACCATACAGAGAAAAGGAGGAGGATGTTCTCTCCTGGATTCTGTTATATTTTGGCATTCAGTCTCCTAAGCATAAATTATTAACATTCAAACTGATCATATTTTTCACAAGCGTGTTCCATGCACTGCCTGATCTCCCACAGATTTCTCTCCTGCCTCTAACTTGCCTCTCCACAGACAGCAGACATCCATCCCAGGTCTCCACGACCTCCACTTTCTCTGAGTATCTGCACTTTTGCGCTTACTCTCACCTTTGTGGTATTTCCCAGCTCTTTCTTTTGCTGTCTTTCTCCCCTCCAGCCTTCCACTGAACTACTTGCAGCTCTTTTCCTAAAGTTTTTCAGGCTCTCCAGCATTTCCTTCTCACGTCTCCACGTCTCTGGCCTGCAAGCGTATGCCATGCCCAGGCTTATTAACTACCCATCCACTAACACGGGGACAATGAACAACAGCTGAACCCTGATTGTGTTTCCCCCACCAAGAGCAGGATCTGCATGGGTGAGTACCCAGCTACCAACTGTCATGAGACTTTTCCAATGCTAATGTCAAGATTCTACCTTCTGTGTTTGGTTAAAACTAGCTAATATATGACAAAACTAGAAGACAAAGGGAAAGACAGACAGAAAGACACTTTTTAAAAAAATGCCTAAAATTCCTACACCCATTAAATGTGAGATCTCATTTTAAAAAACAGATAAAAATAATGACCATTTTTAAAAGTAATGTACTGCCTATACTGAGGTCTAAAGGTCTGAACTCTAGTAACCATTTGTTTAAAAAGGAATCATTATGATTACTTTCATTTGCCATCAGGCTTTATTCTGTTTCTTCCTCTCCTCCTAACACCCACTGTGAAAGGCCTTGGTAAAAATCTGCATGGGGGTTCCACTGCCTCCTCAGTACCACATTTCAGCTGGCCAGAAATAAAGGAATAGTGCATTAAATTAAATATGGTCTCCCACACAACCATGCTGTGTATTCCTCCCTTTAGAGTGCTCCCAGCTACGATGGCTTGACACGGCTGGCCGAGGTAACAGAAAAAAGCCCACTAAAATAACAACTCGGTCCCCTCCTTCTTCCCCACCTTTATCAAATCACAGAAAACACAAGTTCCATTTTTTTTCCATGAACCTTTCACCCCTTTCACTGGGAAAATAAATCTCATTTTCACCTTGATTAACCCACAACATGGAAAATCCTGAGAGAAGATATCCAAAGTATATATGGCGACATATTTCCTCCAGATTTAGATCAATTTAAAGATGCTGTACAGAAGTGTGTACAGAATGGTTTGAGAGGAATAAAACCAAAATGTCATGCTGATACCATAAGTCATTTCAAAAAGCATTGAGGCTGGATAATCTTGCCCTGGCCCTGACACAGAGTTGTTGTGGTAGTGTCAGGATGCTCATAAAGATGTAAGGAAACCCTTGGGAAAGCATGTGGAGCTCTTCAACAAGCAACCAACGTGAGAGTGCCTTCCTAGGAAACTAAGACACTCCTGTGCCTCACTCCTTCCCAGGCTATGAGATCTTAATTCACCCACAGAAGCCTGAAAATCTGCAACGATAATGAAAATGTTAATGCAGTCTGAGCTACCTCAGTACTAGTGGGGCTAACTATTAAAAACTCATGAAAAATGTAATGAAGCTTTTTTTTATTATTATTTTTTATGCACTAACCACAGAAGAAGGCAATTTATCAAAACCATTCACTACATCTGACTAATAGTTTTATACATTATAGGATTCCACAACTAACTGATGAATGCTGACAAGCTGTAAGCCATTTCTCTTCTTGTAAATATTGCAAAGTGTCCAACAGTGCTGCTAATACTGCTGCAGTAAAATCAATAACAAAAAAATAAAAGAAAGAAAAGCTAAAAGCATTTCAGAGGTACAGGAAAAGTCTTTTCACTATTTTTCACATTTATGTTGCTTTCCTTCCTTTCTCTGGAAAAATGGGAGTCATGTAGCTATGTTGTTTAGGGCTGCAATCTGGTGGTTTTGCAGCATTTAAACTGCATTCATCCTAGTTACAGCTTAAATGGCAGAGCCCTAAAGGAACAGTGAGGTGCTGGGGAAGGTACCAACTCAGCTCAGGGCATTTGGCCCCTTGAATCAGAGCTGAACCAAGGTCCCATTAAAATAGTAGGCGCCACAGAGCTTCTGCTTTAGACAAGCTACAGCTCAGAGAAAACTGATGGGCAATATTGCTTTGCCAGAGCCGTGGTGATGGGGCAGGGAAGAGGAAAAGCTAAGCAGCCACTTCACACAGCACAACAGGGAAATCAGCTTACAATACACTGTGCTGGTGCGTGGCATGCCCCTGAGGGCTCCCGGTCATGTCCCTGCTGTTAAGTGTTGTTCAGGAAACAAGAAGTAAATTTTCTGCTTTCTGTTATTTGTTATGATAATGGCTTCTCCTGACCATTAGAACTACAAATATTATCAATAAAATTACAAAACCACGATCCTGACTGACTGCTGCTATTGACATAGGATATTAAAGGCCTTCTGAGTGTTGTGCTATCCAAGTGCCAGTGCAGATCTCTGCCTAATATTTTTTCTAAAGTAAAGATGTGAATTCTGCCATCCAATGAACTTGCATTTTTACTCTGTAAAAATAACCCCAATATGAAGCTGATGAGCGATTTTAAATGGTGAATGCCTAAAGTACAACAGAACACAAATGAAACTTTACCTGAGAATCATAAAACTTTTTAAAAACAGTAATGAGTGAAATTCAACCTTGTAAGGAAGGCAGCACAGGCTGCACATCACTTAAGCCTTACTTAGGGCCTCAAAATAGGTTTTAAGTGAAACTTGGTGCGTGACATTTGTGCTGACGCTGTGCAGAGCTGAGCACCACCCATTAATAACAACCCTCACAAGCAAGCATTCCTTTGGGGATCATTACTTTTATTGCATCCACAGCTTTTCAGAAAAAAAGGACTGTCTTTTGCACTGCTGTTTCACATGATGAGGAGCCTGGTGGCATGGTTATCTTCAGATATTTCCAGTTCTCATTCTCATGCTTCTCTATGCTATGGCACGACACCCTGTCCTCCCAGCTGTGCTCCCATCCTGTTATCTGGGTCAGCAGAAGTATTACAACTGGAGACCTTTTAACATGAAGCCACAGCTTCAGTTAACTGATTCCATGAGCCATATAATGCTTACTGATATATCTTGAAGTACTGGATGCAGAGGGAAATTATTCAATGGAGGTTTGATGCTTGCTGCTCCTCTTTTCAAGAGAAATTCACAGGGAGGCAAAGAAGACCCCAAAGAAGATAATTAAACCAAAGCCAGGAACAACAAAATCTCTCCTAAACCAGAACAGAACAGCATTTAAGTGTTGCTCTCTAAAGCTTTATATCTCTCTCACCCTTTCAGAACAAGCTTTGGAGATCACAGGCTTAGAGAACGGGGGCCTCTGCGACGTCCGTGCCTCTGACTGCACCAGGATCCGGGTGTTTGGCCTCGGCTTCAGAGAGTCACCCAACCTGCACTGTGAAATCATCAGATTAATTGTGAGAAACTTCCCATGGCCTCATATAGTATTAATGATACACTCAAAATTTCACATGTTTTTTACCCCGAATCATGCTGAGTATCGTCATCTCTCACTGCCACGGCATGATGCAGATATCTTCAAACCCCACAGTCAGTATATTTGCTGCAAGCAAGGGGAGCTGAGGAGGCTCAGCCCTTCCCGGGTCTGGATCCTTGGAAATGCACAGCTTTGCAATCTTGCTAATTTTCTCTGTGGGGTTTTGTTTAACTCTTCTTTGGTTCAGCTGCACTGTAGTCTGGTGAAGCCTGAAATCACAATATTATTTCTCATTTTGTGCATCTGGAATTGGTACGCTTGGTTGTTTTCCTAAACACATTTGAATGCTAAGTTTTGTGGTTAAATATAAGGTTTCCTCAACATAGCTACAGAGACTCTTATCTGAATTTTCTTAGTCACAGTTCGATATCAAATCAGAAGTTTTAATGAGTATTAAACCCATCTCTTTTGCTAACACTGTAATTTTATTATAAACAACTATACACAGGCAATGCTAGGACTGAATTATTTGGTATATCATCATACTCAGAGATGAAGTGTTTGATTCATCCCACAAATCCACCTCATAAAAGACATTCAGCCTGATTCCCATTCAGTGTTAACATGCTAATGAGGCACAGCTGAGATTTGCCTACCATGCCCGCTTAGGGCTCCCCAGGCTCTTAACAAGCCGTGATGTCTTCTGCAGCTGATCTAGATAAGTAGCTGACATGGCCTTCAAGGAGCAATGAGCTGGCTGCTGAGCTCCTGGAGCAAACACAAAGTTGCCTCCACCACATTACCCTGTCTCATCCCAGCTGCTCATCCCAAGTGCAGACCACAGAACTTCCTAAATCAATAAACTACTTGCATGCATAGATGAGCATGGCTTGCTCCTTACTGTGGCTACAGTAACTACATAATTTCTTTTAAATAAGCCATCTGGAAATGCTTTATATTATTAACTAGAAATATAAACATATGTTGACAACTGGAATTTCTTTATACGAGCCTTCAGTTTCTGCTCTCTCCTTCTGTTTTGCTGTAGCATCTCAATGACGAATGGATATCAAGAGAACGAGAAACCACAAAAGCAGATTTTCTTAGCTCTGAGGCTGTTGACTGCCAGATTCCTCTCCTGAACATTACAGAGACAGAGGCTGTGCACTTTGTGGCCGGTGATGAGCCGTTTGCAAGATGGCAAGTGAAAGTAGGAATTTCTTATGTTGCTAAGAAATTATTTAGGAGAAAATCAGTTGTCATGGTAAATTAAAATGCAAAGCACAATTTGCTTCCCTTCAGAAATTAAAATGCCTGTAGAAATACTCACATTAATGTCATGTAGGGGAAAAAAAAAAAAACAACAAACAAAACAAAACAAAAAAACAAACAAACAAACAAACAAACAAAAAAAAAAACAACCTACCAACCAAAACAATATGAGCTTAAAACAGGTGTCTTTGTAGGCAATCCAAAAGTGCAAATTACAATCACTTCTCCAGGTAATCACCTGAGATTGATGCAGTTGTATTAATCAATTGTTAATCATTAGTATTTCATTTCTGGAAACCCCAGCTGAAACTCCTGATTAGGCAGCAAGAATAAGCCAGCTTTGATGCCCTGGTTACAAGACTGATGCTTGTGCAGTGCAGGAACAGAGCACTGACTGCCTCCTGGGCAGCAGCTGAGGGCTAGCATGGTGTGAGCAGGGATGTCATGGTCATGATCTTGGTCTTGAATGACTGCAGGAAGAATACCTGTTCATGCTGGTTTCTCTGCTGCAGTTTTAGTCCCTTTTATTCACAGAATGATACCTACTTTCTAAATATTTCCAGGAAATCAGTGCCTTACTGACACTGTGCTTGCTACTCTTGGTCTCGATCTCAGCCTGGATGGTTATTTTCTGCAAATTGGTTGTTTTTTATAAGACTGAGATCATTTAAAGGCTCTATAGCCGAGAAAAATATATTGCTATTGTAGGAAGACTGCAGATGTGCTTTGAAAATTGCAGCATGTAATGATGAAATGCATAAAACACTCACTTCACTGTGGTGTTACTGCCTGTCCTGCACCCCACAGCTGTCTGTACCCCAGACTGGGGACACGTGCTGCCATGTGGCTTTGGGGAAACAGAAAGATGTTTGGCAGTGCACCTTTTCTATCCAGTTAGTTATTTTAAATAGATAGGGATTTGTGTTTTAAGAGGTTAGTGTAAAATCTCTGTGGGAGCAGAGCCTAACCGTCAGACGCTGGGTTGGACCTTCCTCCTGGATAAGGTGCTGTCAGAGTGGGCAGACACAGAGACTGAACCAAGGGGGGCAGCTCCTCTGCTTAGGTCTCCAAAATTTCTCAGAAGAGGTGCTGATCTCTGACAACTGTGAGATGAAATGCTGCCTCCTGATGAAAGGATCTGAGAGAGAGACATTCTTGAGTTTCCTGGCCCAAGAGGACAGCTAACATTTTTGCATGTGCAGGGCTGTTTCTCCAGTGTATCTAGGATAGCTTCCTCACAGCTCATGTGTATTACAACATGGTTTGCTTTCAGGTGCTGCCTTTCAGCCCTCAGGAGGTCTGTACAATTTTTCTCATTTCTTCCCCTCAAAACAGATATAGAATGTCTCTTTCCTTGCACTTAAGTTCAAGAAAACCTCTGCACCTGTGAGCCTTCTGCCCTTTCCCTCTCCTTCAAACCCTGTAGAAAAAACAGGTTGATCGCTATGCAGTGGAAGTACAATTAAATCACCTCGGTCCACATGCAAATCCTAGTTCTCCTGTGGATCTTTTTGCTGATAGAATTGGGAAGGCAGAACTCAACACGCAGTTTCAAAGGCAGCTGGCCTTACACAACGGCACAGAGAACAAAAAGACAGAGCTTTTCAAGATAAAACATGATTTGAAACTAATTCCACAGATGTTCAAAAAGCTGTGCTCCAGAAAGTTCCTGATAAGACTTACAGCAACATTGATTTGTGTTATGTTAATAGACACTTTTTAAAATGTAGGTAAAAGACATTTCAGAACCAAAAATCAAACCAATTCTTTATGGAAATATCACTCTTCAACATTTTCAGAAACTCTCCCCCCAAAATCAATTTTCAGAGGAATCAGCAAAGTTTTGTGTAACCTTTTTTCACTACCAGTGTTGAGGGAATGGGGACTCGACAAGCTCTTCTCAGTGTCCTTTAATTTTATCAGTTCTTGTATTCATGTCACAGATTTTGCTCATTCTTTCCATGACATGCTGCCGAATGTAGATAACAAAGTACATGGGATTACACCAGAACGTTTGGCATAATTAGTTTAGATATCAAAATACAAACTCCGACTTGGAGAGCAGATGACTCGGACTGTCCACACAGATGCCTGGGTGAAGAGGTGAAAGAGCTTGGCAGTCACTTACCTAATTTGAGAAACAGGCCTCTTGCTTAGCTTCAATTTGTTATCAGTCTGTATTTGCAGAAAGAATATTTATTAAAAAGTCACTGAGGCAGAAGCCAAATTTCAATTCAGTAAGTTTTTACAGCTTTCAATTTTTCATTTACAAACATTTATACAAGTCAAATTGTATGTAGATTGAGTGATGCAAATAGTCAAGATTGTTTCATGATGAATGAAATACTTCAGGCAAAAGTGACAGGTTTCCTGATTGTCCTGACTGCTTATCCAGAAGTATTCTTTCTTCCCAGATGATATGTATGTTCAAGCAATCAAGGCACAACTCTAAGCACGTCTTTGGCTTTTAAGGGCCAACCAAATTTGAAGAGAGGTTTGCTCAGCTTAGGTCTCATTGAAGTATTTGTTCCACATCACTAAGGTGACTAATGGAAAAACAATTAAAATAGCTATAAAACAATCCAATTCGAAAAAGACATCAAAATGGATGTTTATAATAGAAAGTAGAAAAAGTACAGATTTTTAAAAAGTCAAATTGGCAGGAGTTACATTTCACTCACAATGCTCACTTTAGACAGAACAATTAGTGTAATTTTATAGCTTTTTATATTTTTCCCTGTCTACCAATTTCTTCACCAATTATTAGTGCACCGGTATTGAGACAACATTGGATGCTCTGGTAAAAGAATGAAATGAAATGTAAATTGCATTAAGAATAATATATTTTTAATGGAAGTCTTGCTGCCAACAAGCACAGTCTTTCAGTGAAGAAAAGGTTTTGAGGGGGTTTGCCAGTTTTATTTTTTAATTTTCTCAAACTGCAGGATAAGTCCTTCTTTTAAAAGAGTTTTTACCTTTAGTATAACACACAGTAGTCTGATATCTCAACTGAATATGATGCCCCGGAAAAAATTATGTTTTTCTTCAAAACATTTCTTTAAAATTCCAAGGAATTTTACTACACCAATGAATTTTACTGACTTTTTGGACCAATTTAAATTAGTCCAAAGAATTTGTTTCTCTTCTACAATTTCAAATCGTGAATATCCATGAATACTGCCTGTTTACCTCCTTATGTTGGTTTCTGCAGAAACAAATGCTCTTAGCTCACAGTGCACTTAGAGCTGAGAACTATCACATGGGATATTGTGGGAGTATCTACTGTATTATGTTCCATGAGCTTCCAGATCATTCTTAGTGAACTTATGATAATTGGTGCTTTTTATGAAAATTATTAATTTTTACTATCTGTACTTCTTTGTTCAGTTTAGCATACATTCTTTCTGTGAAATAAAATAGCTTATTAATTGATCAAAAAACTTTATACTTTTGACCTTGCAAAAGTCCCTTGTAAAGGGACTGAGAATGTTTCAGCTTTGGAGTCACAGGAGAGATGGAGGAGGGCTCAGGGGTTGTTTTTGTAGCAAGAGGACAGAGGGGTACCTGACCTATCTAAAGCAAAGGTCTTATTAGATGTGCTAAACAGCAGCTTTAGTTTGAATGTGAGAAGCTAAAACCTAAAAAATACCTGACAAAAAGGGCTTTGTTTTCCTGCTGGTGTTCATCTTCCGTGGTGTTTTGGGGTGTTCTTTAACATTCACACCTCTCAAGAGCTGTCACAACGCTTTTCTCAAAAGCTAACCCTTTCCACACTAGTCAGGTATCTTTTCATTTTTATCATATAAGAATTAAAATATAAGCTTACTTAACACTTTCTCATTGTGTAAGCATTCAGATATGAAAAATGCCATGATAAATTAAGTCTAAATGATGTACATGTACAGGAAATTGTGAGCTGGGACAGGACGTTATAGTTCTAATGTACCTTGCTATGGAAATGGGACTGTTGCTCTCTGGTATTATCCACCCTAG